GTTGGTGGTGGTGGTGAGGTGTGTGTGTGTGCGCGCGCGTGCACACTGTCTGGGAAATGTCAGTTTCTTTGTCTCCTCAGATAGGGATGTCAGGAGAGTAATAAAGTAGCCTAGTGTACACTGGCTGTAAATGTGCTTTAAGGATCCTCTCTGTATATTGTACTCTCACAACATTTTTTCTTCTGTGTACCTTTTACTGATGATGCATAAACAACCACATCAATCTGGAAACCACATTCCACTAATAACAGTATTGAGCACAAGTCCTGTTTGGAGGCTAATTGCTCTAACTAGATGAAACTTGGATTGTTTAATTCAGAGATTTGTGCAAATTTTATCCTGGATTCTTTTCATATAGGGTTGTACCCATTGGGATTTGCTTTGGGCTGAAGGCTTCCGTGAAACCAAATGAGAATCAGTAGGATTTGCATTGCTTCTGTCTGGGACAGATGCAAGGTCCCACTTTTTCCTCCAAAAGGACTAACTTTTGTTGCCTATTATGTATGTAGTTGAGGTAATCTTCCCCCTTTGGGGATCAGTCAAAGCCAGGAACTGGCCCTCGTCTTACAGTTTTTAATGCTGAATAATAATAACCTATTTTTTCAAAATGGGGTAGTAATGTTGGATGCATGAATTTTAGGGTGTACAGTTTACAGCACCTCAATCTAATTTTCAGGGGGGGTGTTTGCTCCCAAACAGAATATCAAAATCACTAATCACTTTGTTCAAATACTTACAGAAATTTTGGCTCAACATACAGAATTCTGTAGCAAGGTGATAATCTGCTGTGATATTTTATAGAAGAGCTTGGAGATTCTATAGAGAAGTCAACAAATGAAATTCTATAGGTTTATTCAAAACAAACTCTGTAAAACCCTATTAGAATTTATCTGGGATGAAACCTTTTCAGAAAGGTGGGACCAGACTGCAGTAATATTGAGCACGAGTTCATCAAAAGGATTAAAACTGAGTTTCAGGTTAGAGAGGAACCAGTTGAAGTTTCCCTGCTTCTTTCTTTGTGTCCATGCATGCATGTGTGTGATGTGGCATCACAGCATGCAAAAGTCAGTCATCTGCTTTTAAAAATTATAACAGATCTATCTGCACCAGCATAGAAAAAAGGGGTTGTGAACAGAAAGGTGGAGAGAACAAATGGGAATACAAAATTAGTCAAGTCATTAAAATGTGTACTGTAGATATCATTCAAGACCACTAGAGGTCAGGCTTTAATATCTATTAAGTTACTTAAACCAAACAGGAAAAAATTTAAAAACAACAATAGACGAGTAGCATCTTAAAGACTAACAAAGCATTTAGATGGTATCATGAGCTTTCGTGGGCACAGCCCACTTCCTCAGATGACAGGAGTCTCCTGTCATCTGAAGAAGTGGGCTGTGCCCACGAAAGCTCATGATACCTTCTACATGTTTTGTTAGTTTTTAAGATGCTACTAGTTTATTGTTGTTTTTTTAAGTTTTTCCTGTTACAGACTAACTTGGCTACCTCTCTGAAGCTTTTAATACCAAACAGTTCCAATAGATACTAATTTCTGGGGCTTTATCATAGAAATTAAGGAAGGCAAAAAAGTTACCAACATTTCGAGGAAATAATTTTAGGGTGAAAACTGGCGCTTTTTGAACAAAGATGGTTTCTATATGGTGCACACGGGAAAATGTAGGTTCTTGCTGATATTAAACATGTATTTTAAGGTAATGCCAGTGCACAGAACACCTGCAATTTAATGTGGAGCTATAGAGTCTGAGGCACTCAGTGTACCCACCGTCCTCTTATGGTGAAGGTAGATGATGTCACAGGAGATGCACAACGCTTGTGAGTGGCACAGCTATGAAGTGATTGCCCATCATACCGTGTGGTCTCTCAATGGAGTAAATTACACTATGATGCCTGCCACTGGCAGAGGAAAGGGGATGGTAGAGGGGTTAAACAAGAGCAAACTGACTAAAAAGCTGGAGAGGTGCTTACTTTCTGCAAACTTGAAAAGGTGACAGGATAAATACAGAACTTTTGAAAGAAAAATAATGGTGGTGATAAAAGCAATAGAAGCCTTCCTTTGAGATACTAAAGTTAGAACTACAGTAGGGAAGTTATATTGGTGGGTTTAGTGCTGCTAACAGCCAAAATGCCTGCTGTCTGGAGTCCTCTAGCCACAGGACAGGTATAATGTGGGCAGCAGTACTGCAAACTTTCTCATGCCCCCATTGGCCAACCTGTTTCATTGCTGAGTTTGCAAGAGTGCTCCACAGGTAATGGTCAGACACTGTGCCATTCATTCAGTCCTTATATTCTCACTTGGGTAAAGCCGTCAGGCTAGGAAAAGCCAGTTGTGACTTTTCTGACAAGGGCTCGTATCCCCTGGGAACGGGAGTGAGGTCACAGATTCCTGTCATCTAGAGTGCAGAATGTGGTCGCATGGTCACTGGTCACTTGTTTGGAGATTTGAAGCAGTGACCTAGAGGTGATGAGCTCCATGTCCAACTTCAGCTGTTCAGTCCTGTGGAAATAGTAATATTCTGAGGAGCATGAAGCATCCTCTCAATGTTGTCCTTTGGTTTTATCCCTCCCCATTGTTCAGGCCAAGAAGCAACAGAGACGGAACGTGACTATTGTTGGATTTGCTCGTTACCAGACTTGTGTTATGCCGAGTGCTCCTAGTTTCTGCTGGATGAGAGACCAAAGGAACAAGTCTGAGACCTGGATTTATTTTGTAGCCCTATTCATGATGTGGTGTCACTAAGCCATGTCTACACCACCACTTATGTTGGCAAAACTTTAAAAAACCACACCCCTGAGTTCCATAAGTTTTTCTGGCATAAGTGGAAGGATGCACAGTGCTATGTCACATGATTGGTTTTTTTGAAAGAACCGTGTCTAGACTGCATTTTTTCCCCCAAAATCCTTTTTCGAAAAAGCCATTGGAATATATTATGCAAATGAAGCACACAATTTTTAAATCAGCGCTTCCTTTGCAATTTCGAAATCCTTCATTTACATTCCTCTGTCGAAAGAAGAATGTAGTCTAGATGTAGCCTTACTGAGCACAGATACATTGGTACAGCCATGCTGCTGTAAGGTCTCTAATGTAGACATAGCCAACTCAGGCATATTTTAACTGCAGAAGTTTATTGTCAGCCAAACTCTCTCTTCCAAGAGTGTAAGCTTCCATTATTCAGACACTATCTAAACAAACTTGTATCATTTCTTCTGGTTTCATTGTGTCTCCCTGAATTTACACAGCTTCAGCAAAGGTTAAACCTTGGATTTCAATCTAAAAAAACTAAATGTGATGATTAAAAATGGTACTTTACGCAATATTCATTTGAATAATGTATCATAAAAACAAATTAGTCTGCAGCAATCTTTTTGTGCTGATAAAATCTCCTTTCTGTTTAAACTATAAATCACTTGCATTTTTTCCCTCATCTGTAGCCTACGGAGAAATATAATGAATTACTAATAAGGAAGCAGAAGTCTGAGCTGCAGTAGCCATTGCCTGGAATAAATGTTTCAGAGCTTCCACTGCAAGATATATCTCTTTCTTATGGGTTAAGTTCTTGCTGATTTATATTTCTTGGCACTTCCATTGACTTCAGTTAGGTTACAGGCATTCAGTTGCATAAGCTGATGCATGGAATTTGGCCTCAGATATTTGTAAAGTGTCTTGAAGGTGAAAGAATGATATGCTAAATAGCTGATTGAGATCCCACAGGAGTGAATGGTGCAGCCTGTATTGACTTCAACAAGAGCTCCTAGATCAAGTCTGATATGTGCTACAGTGATCACCATCTATAAGTAGGCATTTATAAACAATGACCACATGATGGTATTCTCCCCCCTAAGTACAGAAACAACTACCAACTGTCTCTCGGTTAATGCTTTTAAGGGAAGTCACAGTGTTACTATTTTGTATATCAAATGCCTGGGAGCACATACCTTGAACAGGAGAGGTCTAATTTAGCTGGATCAATGTGGACAAAATAATTAGTTTATATTAGTGTTCAAGTCATATAGTTTACAGTGTACCCCCATCTACGATAGGCAGAAGTGCTGTGTGAGGTGGGCATATAGGGTCACGTGCCTCCCTCCAGATTTCTTCCTTCCATTCAGCAACAGTTTCTAGATGTTCAGACTGTGGTGCGCACCATCTTAGGGAACATTGAGGAATGATCAGGTAGTGAGTGGTGACGTAAATTTGAATATTTTGAGCTAAGCCCCCTCTGCGAGTTGCAGATTTTGGTTGCACCTCCCCTAACTTGCCAAGGAAGTTGGTGGAATCTCCCTCTCTGGAGATATTTAAGAACAGGTTAGATAGACATCTGTCAGGGATGGTGTAGACGGAGCTTGATCCTGCCTTGAGGGTGGGGGGCTGGACTCGATGACCTCTCGAGGTCCCTTCCAGTCCTATTATTCTATGATTCTAACCCAGACACGCTATGTGGCTTGCTGAGGTAAGTCAAAGGGTGGAGATGGTGCTCTATCCTGAAGCTCTCCTGGGCACACACAAGCATTCCTCCATGCTTCCCTTCATGGGTCATGCCCCACAGTTTGAAATACCTCTGATCCTCAGCTGAACAGTAGCTGCAATTTTATTTGAAAATAGACTAAACATTGATTAGACTGAAAAGTCTTACTAAATAAAATACATTGTCCACTATTACAAAGTTTTTCCAATGTACCCCCAACAAGAACTTGTGTACCTGTAGGGGTATGCATTCACATACCCCAGTTTGAAAACACTTTATATGAAAGAGTTGGTTCCAGTAACTTTTTTTTAAATTTCCATAATTCTCACATCTCCTCACTGCAGCCCTTCTCCCCTTCCCACCAACAAATATTGTTTTGCTGGGCCCTCAATTCTTCAGATCCTTTCTCTCCAGCCCAGTGGTGATCCATATTCCACCCACAATACAAGTTTCTTCATGGCTCAGCATTTTAACTCTGATCAGCTCTGGCATTAACTCAGGCAGTTTGGTATTCCTTACCTTTTGGTCCAGGTAAAATTGTGTGTGTCGAGCAGACATCTGTTGCAGGTCGATTGTCAACATTGAAGCCAAAAATCTGAACTTGGAAAAGAAAGAGCACTACTAAAGTTCCACATTTCCTCCACTGTTGGACTTTCCCGCTGCTCATCCTTGCAGTTCCTCAGGAAATGCCGTTCGTTGTTCCAGTCTTGAAAAATACAAGTTGATTCTAAAATAAATTCACTAAATGAGGCAGAGCAAAGACTTGGGAGTTTACATCTGAGGGAAAAACATGTAATAGAGTGGGAAAAAAGAGGTCACCGATGTGTTAGGGTTTTTTAAAATTTGGCACAGAAGATACATTGTCCAGAATATTTATTTAACAGTGACAGTTGTTTATTCCAATTTATCTCTTAGTTGTGAAATTTTATCTGCATGGGCCAGAGTAAATGTCTTGGATAGATGAAACTATCTCTGTTTTTCTTAGCTTTTGCTTTTTTATACTTATTCCTTATAAGGGGGAAACCCAAAACTCTATTCATTCAGAAGAGAAAGATTTTGATTTTCTATCCAAATGAAGTAATTAAAAGATGTTTGTACCTTAAGTAACTATAAGGAAACAGGTAAGGGTCCTATACCAACAAGAACCTGCCTTTGACAAGTTGTAAATGCCCCAAAAGCAATGGAATGATTGTAATTCTGCTTCAAGGAGCCACAGAATGAGACTTCACACCTCCTGCCTGTCATGCTGCATAGGTTGTTCCATGCAGAATAGTGAAGGGCTGAGAGGAATGGGTGAGAAATGGGTGTGAGCAGCAGGTGTGTGAAACAAGCTGATCTGTCAACCGGAATCCATAAGACATGGGTGCTCTTAGGGGCCAAAGGTTATTGTAGTGGTTGCTCTGTGTCCCTCTGTCTGTTCTGATGGACAATATCCAGAAGGACAATCCTAAGGACTGAAGCCACGGAAGAGCAATAGCAGTGCAAATATTTCCACCCTGCCTTTAGCCCATGCATCCCATTGCCAGCCAGGGGAGGTGACCTCTACAGCAGTCCAGTTTCTCTTTTTTTTTTTTTTTTTTTTTTTTTTTTTTTTTTGCAGCTGCACTACTAACAAGGTTTTCAGTTAGTGCTGGTTTTGATTAGTGTCACATAGTTCTCAGAGTTTTGCTTTGAGTTTGTGTGTTTGAAGCTCAAACACAGAGACAGAGGGATGTAAACCCCCCTTATGTAAATGAACTAGTAGAATACCAAACTCTTGCATGAGCCCCCAGAGGAAATCTGGCAGTCAGAAGAATTCTTCTTGGGGCCTCTGTCTACTGTGTGGTCCCTCTGTGCTTTTTCCCAGAGTAACTCTTCCTGAAAAAGGCAGGCTCTAGCTCATAATTAGATAAAAAACATAGTAACCAATTATAATGAATCATGACAGCTAGAGGGCAAAGGCAGATGGACACGCGTTTTAATCTCTGGTGGGACTCTACTAACTTTGTCCCATTACATCCTGGATTAATTTAGATCAAGAAGTGGCGCGGGGGAGAGAAAAGGGGGAGTGCTCTTGATGGAGGTCTAATTTGTTGGAGCTGAGTAATTTATTGCTGGTTACACATATGGGTTTGTTTGTGCCCACCCTAAGCAAAGACATGTTAAAGAGGGAAAATAGCTTTTCAGATGCTTTTCTCATTGTTTAAAGATAAATTAATTGTATAGCTCTACAGATTTTTGACAGATAACATAGTAGCAAATGTACCCATATAGAAGCATGCAGTTACACAAGTTATCTACTCTTTTTATGGCTTGAGGCCTTTCATCTCAAGCATGTGCTGGGAGAAGGGGAGGAATCTTGGCCACATTGTAAAATTCCCACTGATTAAGCAAGGTCAAGATTTCACCTCAGATATCCAGTCTTGTCATGGATTGCCATGCCTTTTCAAAACACTCCCTCTCTCTTTATGATTGTGCCATGTTCTATGCTTTTACAGGAAGATGAATTCAAAGAGCATGTAATCTAAATACGACGGAGATCATGACCATAAATACACAATAGCCAAGGGGGGTGGTGAATAAGAATAAGAAATGGCATAATGAGTAGATGGCGTCACCCCAGGAATAAAGTATGTGACTTGCACTGTGAACTGTGCCTAGTGCTTTGGAAGTTGTAAATTTGTGTAATCTATCTTCTTGCTTTTTTAGAATACTTTCACTTCCATGTTGTGAGCATGAAGTCCATTTAAGCACAAAATACCCCTGGTTTAGGCATGAGAAGCTAATGTAATTGGTTCTGAGGAGGGGTTTAATAAGGCACATGGGCAATTACTGCCCAAAAAATGTAAATGGAAGAATCTGCTCAGCAGTCCTGAGAAATCTTCCAGCAATTGTTTGATATTCCTCAGCAGTAAACAGTGATAGGACAAGTGATGAAGGCAAACATTTGCTAAGAGAGTTCAGAGGTGACTGAGGTACATTGGCCATTGTGCATTTTAATTTTCATCGACTCAGGTGAAGAGAGATGTCTATAGGCAAGAAAAGAGCTAACAAACCAGTATTTGTGTTTCCTGCAGCAAGAACATTTTACCATCCCCTATCCCAATAATAGTCAAAAGAAAATAATGGAGTATTCTGAATATTTATCATCAGCTGACCATAAATCATCATTATGTCCCATGTTGCCTTTTTAGAGTCTAACGCTATCCTTTAGGATCTGAGCATTACTTTTACCTTAATATCCCTCCAATGTTAACCATCAAAGTCAATATGCTATATACAGCACCAACCACACAACCTGCTCAGGTACTAAGAGATGGTCACATGTTAATAGCATCTTGACTGATTAGCACAGTCCCGCATACTGTGACTGGCTTAAACTGTTTACAAATCCCACCTATACCACAGGTGAGCTGCAACTCAGAGTGCCAGAGTCCACTCTGAGTGGACACTTCTACACAACAACATTATTTTGAAATAACGTAATTCACGTCTACCCTGCAGGCAGTTATTTTGAAATAATGTCAAAATATTGTCAAGCTGGAGGACTTCTTACTCTGACTCCTGTAATCCTCATTGTACAAGGAGTAAGGGAAGTCGGAGGAAGAGTGCTCTATTTCAAAATAAGTGCTGTGTAGATGCCCCCAATTTCTAAATAAGTTAATTTGAAATAAGCTACATAACTGACATAGCTCAATTTGCATAGCTTATTTCGAGTTAAGCCCTGCTGATGCACCCTAATAGTTCAGCGAGCGTTCATATCTATACCTCTACTGATCGACTTCTGGGATCCATAGGGGTGCAAAGACAAAATGTTTGCCAATGGTACTTCTCCGGCCTCTACTACCATGGTATCTGAGGTCAAGACTGTCCAACTGCCATGCCAGATACATTGATGGTATTGAGTTGATTCCAATACCATCAAAGCTTGAAACTGATTAGCAAAGGAAAGAATAGAGGGAAACAGAATGGTCTTATATGGCACATTAGGGATGGGGCAGGGAAAGTTATTTTAAAGTTTTTGGACCCTGATTGGGAGCTAGGTGCCTAATTCTCATCGATTTTTCATTTAAAATCTGGCCCTTTATATTTTGACACTATGCCATACTTTGTAAAATTAGTTTTTAGTCCATAAACAGCAGCTCTGTGCTAAGTTATTCCAGTCGGAGACTCAGGCTGTGACCAAAGCCTTATCAATGATGGCAAACAGTGCCCTTCACAGCTAAGGACAAGAATTTATCCAAAGTCTTGTTGCTTGTGCAGTCAATTAAATAGAGCTTTTACATCATAGTCTTACATAACTTTCAACATGATATTCAGTAGGTTACATAGGACCCAGTAGCTTTGATGACAATGGCCTAGTGGCCTGACATCCATTTTGGCCTCACAAGTTGTTTGGGGGATGTGGGTGGGGCAGGGTGGTTCACTTATGTTCTGTTGTTTGAGCATATACACACTGTGCATAGCCTCTGTTCACATTTGCACTGGGATTTTACAGCCTTGTGTTCCTAGTGATGCAGTGTGCAAGGATTTGCAAAATCAAAGCTTACCTTTTTATTAGCTCTTCAAACATGTGGCCTTAAGATAGTATATGATCTGTTCTCCCTTAAAGCCCACTTCAATGGGGTGTATAAAATATGCAGCACTTGAACCATCTCTCAGGAACCACACCATATTAACAGGGACACTTCTAGGTTAATTTCATCCCTTTTGCTCGATCTAGCAACTTGCCACAAAGAACATCAAGCTTTTTCCATTACTGAAAATGGCTGTTTGGCTACAATAATGCTCTCATGAGACTTCATGAAAAGCCTGATATTAACTAAGGTCACCATTATGGCTTCCCATGGAAACACAAATAGATGCTGCCAAAAAC